GGCCGCCTTCTGCGGGCTCATAGGGAGTGTCGTACAGCTGCGGCGGCTTCCCCAGAAGGTCCTTGGAACTGCGCCTTCGGGCCGGCGTCTCCGACTTCACGCCGTTTTCCCCCGGCTCGCAGGGGCTATCGAGCAGCTGAAGGGCTTTCACCAGGGGATCTTTGGAACCGCGGCGTCTGATTTCTGAAAAACATGCACCGTGCACAAGGTCTAGGAAGAAAAAGTGCCGCCCGGCCTGGCCATTATCCAGTCGCCTTCACCTCTGTCTTCCGGTTAGGGTGGCAGGTAACTGCAAAATTGTTCCTTAAGGGGCTGACCGCCTCCCAGCTGTGCCTTGAAAGCAAAAGGCAGGGCCCCCCAACGTTTTCCCTCCCATCGCTGAGCCAGATAATGGACCGCTCCGAAGAGGAGAGTTTCTATCTGAGGACCGGCAGCCTCCAGTTAACCCCTTTCCATTCCGGGTCCTGAGGCCTTCTCCCACTCTAACTCACCTTCTTGTTGGGAAGCCCAGATCAAAGAATCCTAATAAAAAAATCACCTGAGTGTTTACAAAACGTTACCCCATATATGCTGAGAGAAGGTATTTATGTGCAGTAGTTGGGATTTTTTCCTGGGCAGTTTCAATATAGTGGAAAAGCCAGACAGAGTCACAAAAAATATGAAGGGATGTCCAAAAGGCTGTGGGAAAAATGGAATTAAAGTACAAGTTTATTTGGGGGCACACATTTTTGAAATTCATGCAGTCTTTATATAACACACCTTTTCCACGCACTTCATTTGAAGACCTTTCCCTCCCCATCCCCAGTGACTATGAGCTAAATGGAAGTAAAAAGGTGTTGGGGGGGGGGGAACCACAGTAACTCAACAGCTAACCTCTACTGACTGCTCACTGTGTGTGCGGGACCATTCTAAGTGTTCCAAGTGTGGTGTGATCACAACCACTCCATGAGATGGCCACTATTATTTTCCCGGTACAGTTGGAGCAAAGAGCTTAAGAAAACTGTCCAGGGGAACCAGCAGTTAGCGTAATGGCTATGTCGCTGGACTCCCACGTAGTCGACCGCGGTTCGCGTCCTGGACCTGGTGGTTTAAAACTCACGCCGGGCGCGTGTGTGTGCGTGCCCAAGATCCCGAGAGGAGAATGGAGAAGGGATTGAAATCACCCCTGGGGGGTGATTTCTCGCTTTCTGTCTCTATGCCTCTATGTCTCTGTCTGTCTGGCGAGTGCACACGCCTTATAGTGAAAATCTCTCCCGTCCCCCCGCCCCCCAAAAAAGAAAACTGTCCAGACCAGGGAGCCACAAAGCCTGGCTTCGAAAGCAGAAGTTGGGCGCTAGGAGCCATACATTCAGCCAGCACATTTGGGTTGGCTCCAAGTGGAAGAGAAAGGGAAGATGAGTTGACTTGGATAGAGGAGGGCATTTCCAGAGGAGGAAGCTGCATGAATGGAGATAGAAAGGTGGGAACTACGTGGTGTTTTTTTTTTTTTTTTTTTTTTACAGAGGTTTTTGCTATAGGGTGCGTGTGCTCGCCAGATAGACAGAGAGAGACAGAGAGACAAAAAGTGAGAAATCACCCCCCAGAGGGGATGACCACGCCGCAATCCCTTCTCCTCCATTCTCCTCTTGGGCATGCATGCACATGCACCCAGCATGAGTTTTAAGCCACTGGGTCCGGGACGCGAACCGTGGTCAACTACATGGGAGTCCAGCGACAGACATAGCCATTACGCTAACTGCTGGTCCCAAGGTGGGAACTACGTTTAAAAGACAAAAAGCCCAAGAGAAGCAAGGTCCTGGGAGAAGAGGCTGGGAGAGGAGGCAAGCCAGGCGCCGGAGTGCAGAAGTGGTGAGACCGAGGACACTAAGTTTAGATGGGTTCTGGACGCAATGCAGAACTATTACAATTTGTTCGCTGTTGTCACGTTTTTGTTTATTTTCCATAGCTCTATCAATAGGCGATGAAGGAAAACTGGCCGGACTGCAAGTCAAGAGCTTTGGGCAGCGGATACAGCTCTGACCTCAGACAACCCCAGTCACCTGGCCTGGCCTGGCGAGGTTAAGGGCAGGTATTTCAGCTCTCGCATTGTGATGTGGAGGTGTTTATTGACGGATTGATTTCTTCCATGAACAAGAGCGCTAGAGAGATAGTGCCCCAAACGGGTCCTGATGCCATGGTCCACTCCCAGCCTGTCAGAATCTTGGGGCTCTATTTTTTTAGAGAGATTTTTGCTATGAGGCGCATGTGCTTGTCAGAGAGACAAAAAGCAAGAAATCACCCCCCCGTGGGGGTGCAATTGCTTTCCTCCATTTTTCTCTCGGAATTTTGGGTGCATGCACACATGCCCACTGTGAGTTTTAAGCTGCCTGGCTCGGGACTGGAACCGCAGTCAACTACATGGGAGTCCTGCGACTTAACCATTAGGCCATCTGTTGGTCCCTCTTCCAATCTTTTAAAATCGAACTTGGGAACCTCGTTTGTAGAAGCCCTTCCTGCCCACCTTCTCTGATGCCCCATAAGGGTGACAGGGTGTGTCAGCCCACCCGCACCTTGCGCTTGTACTTCTCCCACTGCAAGGATTTTTTAGCTGATGAATCTGTTTCCAGTTTGGTGGAGACCATCGGGGCAGGGACCACCGTGTCTTGTTCATCTCTGTAGGAGACATGATTGTGCTAAACAGTGATTGGATGGATGAAGAGAAGGAAGAGGAGCAGGAGAACTTTGCCAGGCAGGTGAAAATGCCGATCTGGAGGGACGTGTCAAGAAGGTACTCAGGAAAGCGTCGTCGTGACTACTGAGAGACCGAGGACATACTGAAAAGGAAAGAGGGTCAAAGGCAGAACCTAGGGCTCCTAGTTAAGGGTGGCTGGAAGGAGTGCTAGCAAAGAGGCTGAGGAGTGGTGAGGGAGCAGGCAGATCAGGAGAAACAGGATGGGAAGACTTTCTATGGTAACTTAAAAAACAGGCATAGCGACCCTCTATGGAGAATGAATCAGTAAAACTTTTTTTTTTTTTTTTTATAGAGATTTTTGCTATAGGCACATGCACTCGCTGGAGAGATCGTGAGAGACAGAAAGCAAGAAATCATCCCCCAGGGTAATGGCCACGCCAATCCCTTCTCCATTTTCTTCTCAGAATCTTGGGCATACACGCACACTCCAGCGTGAGTTTTAGTTTGTTTTTAGGGGGGCTACAGGGCACGTGCATTTGCCAGAGAGAGAGAGAAAGTGAGAAATCACCCCCCAGGGGAGAAGGCCACGCAGGAATCCCTTCTCCTCCATTCTGCTCTCAGGATTTTGGGCATGGGCATACACCTGGTGGGATTCTCAAGCCACCGGGGCTGGGGATGCAAACTGTGCAACTGGTCACGTGGGGTCCAGCGCCTTAACCCCCATGTCACCCGCTGGCCCAGTAAAACATTTATAAGAAAAAGACTACTGAAGGAGAGTTATTAAAATCAAGACACTAAATTCAGAATGGCAAAATTGATTTATAGGGTGAAGGTAAATTCTGCTGGAGAAAGGGCCTCTGGGCCGCTGTCCCAATTCAATGTAGCAAAAACGCACTGGAATCACCCGGGGCAGCTCTAACAATATTCTGATTTAGTCCTTCCAGCCATGAGTGTGAGAGAGCCCACAACAGGGCCTTGACGCTGCAGTCCATCCCTCAGTAGGTCCCGACCTCGGGCACGTGCATGCACCTGAAGAATTCAGGGAGGTCTCCAGACACAGACCGAAAACTCCAGCCCTACAGAGTAGAGCCTTGCTCTTGCTGCTGCGCCACCACCCGGCCCCCACAGCATCTGACTTAACTGGACTGGAGCACAGCCTGGGAGTCAGCGTGTAAAAATCTCCCAGAAGCCTCTCATCTAACAAATACCTTCTACACTTGCTGGGTCCTCACAGTCCCCATCTCAGTGGCTGGTCCCATCCCAAGGAGGACGGTACTGCCTGTATCTGACACCACGTCAGGGACCCGGTGTGGCTCAGTGGTAAAACACAGCTCTCAGGGAGGCTGACCCACCTGGGCAGGTTCTGGAACGCTCCCTGAGTGTGCCGACACACACGTGCCCAGGATCCAAGGTGGGCTGGGGGTGCGTCATGGCATCAGGACCCTGTTGGAGGATATTCTCTCTCTTTTTAAAGATTTATTTGATTCTATTTATTATTATTAAATTTGCTATAGAGCATATGTGCTCACCAGAGAGAGACAGAGAGACAGAAAAAGAAGGAAAGCAAGAAAGCAAGCCACCAGGTCCCGGACTTGAACTGGGGTTGGCCATGTATGAGTCCAGCACTTAAACCACCATACCACCTGCTCTCTGTTTCTCTCTCTGGTTTGTGCAAGAAGTAAATAAATAAATCAAAATCTCCATATCACACCGTCAGAGCTGGAAGAACCTACCCCAGAACCTCCCCATCCAGGCCAGGCCAGGCGCCTGGGGTTGTCTGAGGTCAGAGCTCATCCCGTCCAAAGCTCTTGACTTGCAGTCAGGCCACTCTTTTCCTCACTGCCTATCCTAAATGGAACTATAGAAAACAATAAACAAAAACATATTTTGTTCTTGGCTCCATTAAGATAAGGCTGGAGTATTTTTAAAAAGAACTTTCAAAAAAAATTTTTTTTAATTTATTTAATTATTTAATTGTGACCAGAGAGGGACAGAGTGAAAGAGAGAGAAGGGGTGGGGAAAGGAAGAGAGTAAGACGCCAGGTCCGAGATTTAAAAAGAGCTTTTCTAAAGAACTAAGAAAAAGGAGTGGCTGGCAGGTGGTGTGGTGGTTCAGGTGCTAAACTCCGACAGGGTTGACCACAGTTCGAGACCCAGACCTGGTAGCTTACTTTCTCACTTTCCTTCTCTCTGCATCTCTCTGGTGAGTGCATGTGCACTACAGCAAACATAATAATCATAATAATAAATAAAATTAAATAAGTAATTTTTAAAAAATAAGAAAAAGGAAGCAAAAACCATAAAGGACAAGTTTAGAATTTTTAGGTTTCTAATCAAAACTCGTTTGTCCTTGGTTTAGACCATCTGTACTCTCTAGGGAAAGCCTTCCCCACGGTCCTTGTCTCAATTCTGCCCCAGCGGAACTAAAGGGCAGGAGCACGGCTCACAAGGACATTTCAATACATCTGTAGTAAAACGACATACAGGGCTGGCCCTACAGCCTAGTGGTTGCG